GCGGAAGTGGGGGGGGGGGCAGGAATCCTCTCTTGTGCCCTCTTAGTAAGCAGACTGTGCCCCTCCACTCCTTTATGCAGGGCAATTCTGGCCTGGGCTTCAGCATTGCAGGTGGCATTGACAACCCCCATGTCCCTGATGACCCTGGCATCTTCATTACCAAGATCATTCCTGGTGGAGCAGCTGCCATGGACGGGAGGCTGGGGTGAGGTGGCCTGGAAACAGGGCTGGGGGTAACAGGGGCAGGATGAAGATGAGGGGAGGAGGGCACCTGGCAGGATGACCCTTCCATTCAATCTGAGAGGAGAGGGAAAGGAAGGAGGAGGAGTGGAGGGCAGGGGAGGGGAGCCGAATGAGGTGGGAGAGGGGGTGGAGGGGCGGTGGCGCAGTGTCATGCCTCTTGGGCTTCCCCCACAGGGTGAATGACTGTGTGCTGCGGGTGAATGAGGTGGACGTGTCAGAGGTGGTGCACAGCCGAGCTGTGGAGGCGCTGAAGGAGGCAGGCCCTGTGGTGCGGTTGGTGGTGCGGAGGCGACAGCCCCCACCCGAGACCATCATGGAGGTCAACCTGCTCAAAGGGCCCAAAGGTGCGGCCCTCTGGGTTCCTGTGCTCTGGCCAGAGGTCCCTGGTTGGCTCTGTAGGAAATGGAAGGGAAATTAGCCTTACTCCTTGCCTGACTCCCCATTTCAGCTCACACCCTTGTTTCTTGACCTCATGTTTCACCCCTATTGACCTGGGGATGGCAGCCTAGTATTTGGGATCCCTGGGGGGACCTCCCATGGGGCAAGAGTGTTGGCTGGGGGTGGGGTTGGGTTTAGGATTGACTGAGCACTCTAACTTCTCCTGTGGCCCTCTCCCACTCCCTGCTGGTTCCCACTCAGGCCTGGGTTTCAGCATTGCTGGGGGCATTGGCAACCAGCACATCCCAGGAGACAACAGCATCTACATCACCAAGATCATTGAGGGAGGTGCTGCTCAGAAGGATGGCCGCCTACAGATTGGAGACCGGCTGCTGGCGGTGAGACAGTCTTAACAGGGATGCCCAAATGGTAGGGTGGGAAGGTAGAGCTCTAGCAGCCTCTCAGTCCACCTGAGCCTCACTCAGGGACTAAGCATTGTGGGGAATTTCAAGAGCATCATCAGAGTTGGGTGTATTAGATACCAAGGCCCTACTTTTCATGGCCGGGAGTCCCTTTTCTGCCCTACCTCTATCTCAGGCCTCTCTGCTCCTCACAGCACTATCCTTGGGCCTCTGTGAGAGCACTGTTGAATTTCAGTGAAGGGCCCCTCTCAGGGGTCCCAAAGAGGCCCTTCCTTATTGCAAGTGCTAGCCTGAAGGCTTCTTCTCTTCTAGGTGAACAACACCAATCTGCAAGATGTGAGGCATGAAGAAGCTGTGGCCTCACTGAAGAACACCTCTGATATGGTCTATCTGAAGGTGGCCAAGCCAGGCAGCCTTCACCTCAACGACATGTACGCACCCCCTGACTACGCCAGCAGTACGTACCCATCTGCCCTGTCCCTGGGCTGAAGCCCCTGCCCCTGGTTTCTGGAGGGGAAGAAGTTCATATTCCTTGTTAAGATAGAGAGAACAGAGGACTTGTGCTCAGGAGAACTGAGTCCAAACCTTATAGCTGGTGCCCTTGGACAAGTCCCTTTCACCTGTCTTTAGTTTCCTCTTTGGCAAAAAGGAGCTAATGATATATGTGCTGCCTTCTTCACAGGCCTGCTGCAAGGATCAAATGAGATCATGGATGAGAAAGCCCTTGGAAAACTGTATTAGGCTATAGAGATGTGAGGGATTATTATTAGTTACACCTCCAGTCATGCCTTTCTTTGTAGACTGCCTTGACTTCAGCTCTTTCTAAGACTCACAGGAGTGAGCCCAGGATTCAGAAAGGGACTGTGGAGGAGGAACCCTGGGGGTGGAGTGGGGCAGAGAGGCCAGAGGAATCAGCACCCCTTGGTGCTGAGGTGCATTTGAGGTGGGCTGTGAGGGACAGTCCTTGGGGAGGGGAGGAAGGTACCTACGTGGAGTGGTCTCTGAAATTTTTTCTCCCTTTCTTGATTCCAGCTTTTACTGCCTTGGCTGACAACCACATAAGCCATAATTCCAGCCTGGGTTATCTTGGGGCTGTGGAGAGCAAGGTCAGCTACCCTGCTCCTCCTCAGGTTCCCCCTGCCCGCTACTCTCCTATCCCGAGGCACATGCTGGCTGAGGAGGACTTCACCAGGTGAGACCCCCACCCCCTATGTAGGGGTGGGGAGGAGAGGAACCCGTTTCTGGCTGGCCACAGGCTTAGTGTAGTATGGCAAAGAAGAGGACAAGGCCCTCATCTCTCCCATCTTTGGGGTCTGAGGCCCTCTCTCTGCCCTTGGGGCTCTAGGAAGGGACAGAAGAGGATGCAGGGACAAGTTCTACCATCAGGGGGAGTGCCAAGTGTGTGGCCCGGAGCCGAAGTGCGGAGAAAGGGTGGGGTGGAGTATTTTGGGGGCTGAGGAGGTGGAGGCTGCGGGGGTTCCTGCCCCGAGACAGTAGCCGCCCCCTCTGCTGCAATCATTCCGAATCAGAGAAGAAAGCCTTACAGCCAGTGGGGTTGGGAGGCTTCAGGGAGGCTGGCCGGCCTGGTGGCTTCATAGGGAGCAGCTCCGCCCCACTCTGGCGGCGGCCTCGGTGGAACTGGTTGAGCAGGCTTGGGTTCCGGGGGACAGGTTTGCCGTGGGGTGGGGCCTGGTAGGCTGCTGGGTTGGCTGCAGTGGGGCCTGAAAGTATAGGCGGACGGGGTGTGGGGGAGAGCCGCAGGGGCCATGGAGAGGGCGCGCAAGTTCTCGGGCTCGGGCTTGGCCCAGGGCTTGGGCTCGGCCTCGGCCTCGGCCTCGGCCTGGAGGAGGGCTTCGCAGAGGTGGGCCTGGCCGCTCCGCTCCCTACGACCTGGAGGGGACGCCAGGTAGGAGGAAAGGAGGGCTTCGAGCAAGAGCATCCGGGACTCAGGGAGGAAGCCTCGGGCCAGACCTGGAACAAGAAAGGAGTCTTGGACTTGGGGCTCCTCTGATGAAAGATGCTTCAAGTGAAGGTGGTAGGCCAGGAAAGTGTGCTGGGAGTCCGGGTGTATGGATATACCCGAGTGGCTTTTGCCCTCACCTGATGACACTGTGACCATTTATTGAGGAATTTTTACACGTGGTTAGTGGTAGTCCAGGTTTTCATGTATTTGTTCCCTTTCTTCAGTTAGGCTCCTACACCCCTTTGGGGGACCTGGGAGTTCTTTATCTCTGTCTCCCACATCACCTAGCAAGGGTGTATAGTAGTTGGTGACTACATCTATTGTTGGGGAAGGTCATAGTGGGGGGTGGAATTTTGAGACAGCAGAGGGGCATGTGGAAAGTAAGTATGCACGTTTTGTGGATGGAGAGTGCAATCAACTCCAGGGTGATTCCACTGCCCCTAACCGGCTCCCCTTCTGTGGCCTGGGCTCCATCACACCAGCTGGTAGGATAGGAGAATCTGGGGAGGAAGAGGACCAGTGAGTGGTCTCTGAACTATGGTCTTCACAGTCCAGGCTAGGTCTTTGATGACCTGAGAGAGTAGGGGACTGTCCACTGGGGAGCTGACTCCAGGCCCTCAGGAATAAGGGAGGGAAGAGGAAAGAGGAACTGAAACTTGGCACCTAGCAGAAAACAGCAGCCAAGCAGGTTCCAGGAGAGAAAGGGAGGAACAGGGACCCAAGTCCTTCTGCAGTGATGTGGGACTTGTTCCAGGCTGGCTCTCATAGAGACACCAGTTAATATCTACCTTGTCCTGACCCTTCTACTGCTTTCCCACCAGAGAGCCTCGCAAGATCATCCTGCACAAGGGCTCCACAGGCCTGGGCTTCAACATCGTGGGAGGAGAGGATGGAGAAGGCATTTTTGTCTCCTTCATCCTGGCGGGAGGCCCAGCTGACCTGAGTGGAGAGCTGCGCAGGGGAGACCGGATCTTATCGGTGAGGAGACAAAGGCGAGGTGGGAGGATGGGAGCTGTGCCAGTCTAAAAAGTGAGGAGAGGAGATCCTGCTTTCTCTAAGGAATGCTTCTTGAGATGGGAGAAGGGCTAAGAGCTGAAGAAAACTTATATTTTCTTTATGGATGTCCTTAGTGAGGGACAGGGATGGAGACGAGACTTATCCTTGAGGAGGAAATCAATGTCTTTCTTATCTTAACCCTGGTTGACATTTGACCCATAAAGATAATTACTACGCTAGAGATGCCATATCCTTTAGGTCTTCTCTTAGGAGCAAGGATGGGATATTGAAAAAGGCGTCTGAGTAGGCTTAGGGATGGGCTACCCATCTCCCTTTCCTAACTGCTATGACAGAGGACTCCCTTTCTTGCTTTTAGGGTGGCTCATAGCTCCTCTATTTCAACAGGTGAATGGTGTCAACCTGAGGAATGCAACCCATGAGCAGGCTGCAGCTGCTCTGAAACGGGCTGGCCAGTCAGTCACCATTGTGGCCCAGTACAGACCTGAAGGTAGGAGAAGGGAGGCGGGGCAAGATAATTTGAGGAGTATACACTTGTGCTAAGTGTCAGCTTTTTGCCATCATAGGTATCAAAGCCACTAGACCAGGTCTTTTCTACCCTAGTGCAGTAACGGCTTACTCTCTCGGTTTCCTTCTGGACAGGGGTAGGTTTGGGCAAGTCAGGAGCATCTATCAAGGCTGTGCTCAGAGCTTGCAGATCAGGGCTGCAGTACAGCAGGCGGCCAGTAGTGGGAAGCAGCATACAGGAGGAAGCACAGAGATTGGGGCGGCTGGAAAAAAGGGAGGGGGAGGAACGGGGCGCGCAGGGTTCAGAGGCGAAGACGCCTTGGAACTGGAGGATAGCTTGGTTAGAAGGACCTCAGAGAGAAGAGATCCGACGTCTTAAGACATCTTGGGCCAAAGCTCTATGACCCCCTACCATTTCCCTCCCCATATCAGGGTTATCATGAAAAACCCATAAACGCGCCGAAAAGGTGATGCCAAACCCACGGATTAGGGAGTCGGAAGTGGACCCCTTCCTCCTACTAGGGGCCGCCTTTGTGTTCTCCGTGAGCAGTCTTCTGGCTGGGGCTAGAGGGTGGGGCCGGTTATGCAAATGAAGGCCTTTGATTGGCTGGGAGCAGCGGAGGCCCAGGTGCCGAGGTGAGCTGCAGGCCGGCGCGCCTGAGCCAGCCGGCCGGCGGGGTGGCCATTGGCTGGCCAAGCGTGGCTTCCAGCCCTACGCCCCTCCCCCTGACCCAAGCGGCGGGCGCCCATCCTTGCCCCCCCTCGCGCGCCTCAGGCGTCTCCTCCTCC